GTGTCGGCACCGCGTGGGCGGCCGGTGCCGGAGCGCGGCCCGGGTAGCCGACCGGCTGCGGGGCTCCGCGTTTGCACGGGGAGAGAGCCGTTCATACGGTCACTTACCCCGGCGGCTGCCGGCGCTGCCTGTCTGCCCGTGTGCTGGATTGAGCCTGGTGGGGCATGGTGCTGTTGGCCTGAGCGCTCTCGCAGTCATTTTTTCCCCCCTTACTTTTAAATATTTCTTTCTTAATGAGTAACACTGGGAGATTTCTGTGAAGTAATTTCAAAGCGAAATGATGATCTCAAACTATTTGGTTTGCTTTCTACTTCTAGATCACTTTTTGTGAACTGGTGGTGTTGAAGAAACTGAATGAATGGAACAGTTAGGAAGCTTGCGTTTCATGCTCTCCGCTTGCCACAAGACACAAACAACACTGTGTCTCTGAAGCGACCTGGAATCATTGGAGCTGTGTGTCCTGAGGGACTCTGAGGACCTCTGAAGGTAAAAAAGTGTTCGGTAGCATTCTTTCCTAACCCTCTGTTGCCCTGACTATTAAAAGGAGGATCCTGTTTGGTAGTGTTGCCAGCCCTCTCCCCACATTTACACCTTCTGCTGGGCTGCCTGCCTATTCTGCTTTCCCAAAGAGCAGTTAGATTGCAGGCGTGTTTTCTGAGAAAATGCCAGCAAATGCAGCCTTACTCTTTTGTGAGGGAAGGTAAAAGGAGTTTCTTAAATGTGGTGGCCCGCTGTTGGCTGCAGGGAGTGATTGCTGTTACAGGGTAAAAATATGCATATTTTTGTATTCCCCTCTGCCACGGTACAGTAACTTCTTAAAATGCTTGTCCATTCTCCAGTCTTGCAGTTGATTTTTTTGCCAGAATACTTGCTTTTGTGCTGTTCTGCGGTTTTTTTTTTTCAACTCTACTGACTTGTCCCTTTTCTTCCCCCCCTTCTGTGAAGTACATGCATCTAGTCATTCCTTTGAACGTTGCTGCTAGTTTGGCCTTTGCCTTCTCTTTTATGAGCTGGTGTTTTGAAATTTTTACATGTCTGTCTGCTTTCAAAAATATCCTGTGAAACATTTCTGCTTGAGTGCCTGTTTACTGCTGCCTTGTGTTGTCTTATATTCATTGCACAGCTTAGTTTCAGCCATAACTTGTTTGAAATAGCTTCTACTGTTAGAATAAAATGTGCTGGCAGTGCCGTATGAACAAACCTTTTGTAAAAACAATGAAGGTTCTTGCTGACAGCCTATAAAGGCAAAGTATTTCCATTTATTATCAATCTTTATGTCTTTATAATTAATGTAATCTTCAGTAGTAGTAATGTTATTTTTTGGTACTTAAGCTTATTCTAAGGCACCTTCTACATACTGTTCTCCATAGAACCTTTTGCAAAGTGTGGCATAATCTCGTAAACATGCAGTGTCTTTCTTCATGGTCTTCTCTGGTAACTTTCTTACTGACTATGCTTACTACTCCCATTGAGCTCTGCCTGGGGCTGGAAGGGTGGTTCTCTCTTTAACAGAGCAAAGGACACCTCGTTTAAGTGGGGGTGTGTCTACTGTAAATGAAGATGCATTGGATATACACAGTGAATGGGCAGGGTAGTCAAGCCTACTACACTGTGGCAGGAAGAACTTCTAGTTCAAAATGTGCCTGAAGAGTTATAGAGTTCTTCATCTCTTCTGTAAGTAGTGAAGTGTTAGGCAGAAGCATTGAAGGGATCTTTATTATAAGGAATTGGGGGCGTGCTCTTGCCCTGGCACTGTCTTGTCCGTGCTGAAAATCCATGTGTGCTCTTTCTGGGACAAATGCCACACAAAGCCACCCGCTAGATTTCAGGGACTGTAGCCACCTCAGCTGCTTTCTACCGATGCCTGGAGCTGTGCGTTACAAGGATCAAACGTCTGTAGATAGCCATGTTCCTTTTACAGAGCAGGTAATGAACCCTGGACAGTGCTTTAATTTACGATTTGATTTTTAACCCTTCATTTTGCTTGTGAACTGCTCTTGGTTGTCAGCTGACATCAACTCTGCCAAGTCCACTATATACCAACACACAGATGGCTAGCCAGAAATGTGTGGTTGCATTTTAATGATGCTGTGATAGGGATATTTCCAGCACCAGTGTTCTGCACCTGGCAGCAGGGATGTTGTATCTGAAAGTAAGATTTTTCTGAGCCAGTTGTTTTCTTTCTGTATGTTAGATACAAAGTTGATAGGACTCTGTTATTGTAAGTATTTATATTAAAAGGCAACGGCAGCAAACCAATGGCCCAATAATGTCCTGCTTACGTTCTTCTTCGCCAGACACTACTCTAAGGATGGAGGTTGTAGGTTCTTGTGATTCCTCCTTCCAGAGAGAGCCCTTTCTAAAGAGAGGAGTCTGTTGCAGAGGGTTCCTCTTGCAGTGAATGTGACTGCGATACAGTGGAAAATCCAGACCAGCCTGCTTGCCAGCCTGTTCTGCTGCTTGCCCTGAGAGTGAGTTCCCAGAGGATCTGCTCAGCTCTGAGCTCAGCTGGGCAGGAGCCAGACAGCACAGCTTTGGCTCTGGAGATGCCACTTGCCCTGTTTGCTTTGTGAGAAGTTTGTGAAGGGGAGGGGATCCTTCAGTGAACTCAGTGGGGATGAATAGCGAGGTCAGCCCTATACAGCAACTTGCTCTCTCCCTATTCTGCTCATCCGATGTCCTGTGTACCTTGAGCTAGACGCTAGGGTATTGAAGGAGAATGGAAGTACATAACCAAGAATTAAATGCCGTACAGAGTATTTGCTTTCAAGTCTGGACTTGATTCTATGTCTTCTAGATAAGTAAGCCCAGATACAATGTTTTCTCCCTCTCAATATTTGTCCTAGCTTATAAAAGTTCACAGCTTGTGGATTATTATTTAAGTACAGTTGTGCTATGCAAATTTTGCAGTATTTTAAATGGGTGCTGCTTGTCAGTTCACCAAAAATCAGTTCTATTCTTACTCGTTGCTAAGGACGCAGTTAAATGAGGCATACTTTCTGTAATATCCCTCCTTGAATATGGAAATTAAGCATAGGGGATGATATGGGTACACCTCTTCTCCCTTCCCCAACCCTGTTAGCCAGTTTCAACCAAATAGAGGAGCAGATGGGAGGGAAAAGAAATAAGAATGGCATCGTTAGCAGCAAATATCAGTGCCTCTGAAACTCCCTGCTTTAACTTGCACCTTGTTTCATAGTTCAGAATTTCTTATTGGCAGGTCTGACTTAAGTGGTCATGTTTTTCTTTGTGAATATTGTGTTTTAAGGCATTTGCTGTTTCCAGTTGCGGTTCATTCAGTTGCAGAGAAGCTAGACCAAAATATTTTGATCAAAGTATGTGGGAGAAGGGAGGTAGAACAAGCAATAGACAAGAGCTGATTAGATAGTAGCTCATGTAACCAGACTAGCTCTAGCTGCTGAGTTAACTTCAACTGATTTTTTTTTTTTTTTGGCAAGTGCATCAAGCCTGATTCATCATGATCCATAGATTTAATCAAGCACAGCAAACGCATGAGCATAACAGGCATCTGAGAGTCCCCTGACGTATTGCACTATCCGCAAAACATTCCATGTATTAACAATCAATTACTCATTAAAGTCACAGTATTGTCGTAAGCATAAGCAGTATCTGTATTTTCCCATGCCTCCTTTGACCTGAATTTACACCGTTTGTGAGCATGACCCTGCAAAGGAGGGTATAAATGACCCCTAATACAGGGAGCCGGAGCAAGGTCCTCATGCCAGCACATGAAGGCATTTCAGTTTTGGGAGCTCTTGTCATCTTGTTCCCATGGGATAGGGCACCACCCCTGCATTGTTTTAGTTCTTCAGAAATACCACTGTATGTATTGTGACATTATTGCAGCATTTATTGTAATTTCCAAATTTGTCTTTCAGTGCTTCCTTCGTGTTCTGTCTCTAGTGCCTAGGTACATTTCTCTGCTTCCCTAAAGGCATTCCGGCATCTTGGCATGGCTGCCCTTTGAACAGTCTAGAATAGCTTTTCTGGCATGCTTGTGGTCCTTATCTTTGCTGTAAACACAAGCTGTGAAAGCCATATGGGATGGCAGGCTGAAAATAACTTCTACTCTTGGTAATCTCTTAAGGAAAGATAAGTCTTCTGCCTGGGTGCTGTGGATGGATTCTCTGTGGTTCCCTACAATCAGGATCACAAATGACAGTGAGCTGTGCCATCTGCTTTGGGGACAGAATTGCTGTTGCTCTGTCAGTTGCTCTCAGAAAGAGCAGCTAGCACAGCGTGGCTGGGAGGAGGGCGATATCCATGCCTTGAACTTGCAGATCCCGCGGATGCTGACTAGTACTGTAGGCTTGCTTGGTTGTTCCTTTGATTCCAGCGTGTTGGAAGACGTGCATATCCTGAGGGGACATTGCGTAAGAGGAATGATGTCATGAGTTTGACACTGCTAGGATAACTTTGCATTTACTGTCAGAGGAGTTACTCACTTGGTCCTCTCTTTCCTTACAGCAGAAAGGGCGCAATGATGGATAACCGTTTTGCTACAGCGCTAGTAATTGCTTGTGTTCTCAGCCTCATCTCCACCATCTATATGGCAGCTTCTATTGGCACTGACTTTTGGTACGAATACCACACCCTGTCCCCAGCTGAGAATGTTAGTGAAGCTGGTAAGAGCATCTGGGAGGAATTTGTCAGCGAAGAGGCAGATGAGAAGACCTACACAGATGCGCTCTTCCGGTGCAACGGCACAGTGGGATTGTGGCGGAGGTGTATCACTGTACCCAAAAACTCTCACTGGTACAGCCCACCAGGTATCTCCAGAGCAATTAACACTTCCCTAGCTTGCCTGGGGTGGTATGTGCTAACTTCCTCACAACATATTCACACCACTTTGTTCCTCCAGAAGGCTAATTTCTAGCTTATGTGTTTTGTTTTTTTTTTAATAAAGACAGTCTAAATTTTTAAAGAAGCAAAAGGCAAAATGGTCTGTGGCTGTCAGTGCTACAGACTTTGGATTTGACACATGATACTTGATCTAAATTTAGTCTGGTATAACTTGTCTTTTGCATCTGCTGTCCAACTGGGGATACAGTATAGTCACTATGTCAGTCACTGTCTTTTTAGGAGAGGTCCTGGGATCCAGCAACGGAATAAAGATACTACTTTATCAAGGGGGCACTTGCTCCTTTTAGCTAGTAATTCATTTTGCTCGTGTGTCACAAATGTCCCACTGTTGCCTCAGCACATTTTGGACTCCTTGTACCGTAGTGCTGGATATAGAATGAAGTATTTGTATTCTTTTTCACAATGGTTGGGGGCTAAAAAAGTGTGGTGAGCGATTATTTTAATTGCTTCAAAGTAGATTTTGGACACATATTGTGGTGTGAAGCCCTTCATTTTGAACTCTCTTAAAAAAATGTATTTTGAAACACTTTTTCTGGAGAAAAAACATTACGTGAAATACTTTTTTTATTCTCTAATGAAAATACTTATTTTGGAAGACACTTAAACCAGGTCTGCTCAATAGTATTCTCAAAGCAAAATCTAACTGAGGCATAAAAGGGGAGAAATTTAGTATAAAGAAGCAAATATTTTCTGTTCTTTAAATAGTCCTTTCTATCCCATTTTTGAATGAAGTGTTTAGTACGATACTACATTCTGCACATGGAGATAAGCACATCTCAGTTAAGCAACTCTGAGTACAATAATACGTAACAACATAGTTGAGCATCATATGCCAGATTTCTTTCCCAATCTGTCAAGCATGGTCCAGTTCTCTGTGGATAACCCAGGTAAGCTTGAAGATTCTGCTCACTGTCCCTCACTGTAGTAACTACGTTATGCTAACTACATTATGATAAGGCATCCTACAGATCTGTTTTGAGAGGTAATTTTTTCTCTAAAATGTTTTTTCTCTAAAACTTTTTCTCTGAGGAGCTTCCCAGCTTAAATGTTTGGGAAAGGAGGAATTGAAGGGGGGGGATGGGAGGGAGACACCTAATGGTAATTTTTTCTTTTTTCCACCAGAAACTGATATGACTACAAACTGCATCAGTTTTTCCCTCTCTGATCAGTTTATGGAAAAGTACATAGAGCCTGGAAATCACAATAGTGGCACGGATTTGAATCGAACTTGTAAGTGTGTCTCACTTCTGGCAGGTAAAAAAGTAGGATGAAAAAAAAGACGTTTCTCAAAAACAGTCACTAGTGAGGGAAGCATCTGTATCTTGCGCTGCTGTTTTTTTTTCCTTCACAGTAGCACAGGAAATAGATCAAAGTGTAAAAGGAGAACTTAAGTGCTTTAGCAAAGATTTTGCCCATGAATGCAGTACAGGAATTTGGGAGTTAACAAATGAAGTTCTTCCTACTTTAGTGGGGCCTTTGGTCCTTTTTACCTGTGAATGTAGTGTCTGATGAAGCAGAAGCAGTGTGGGTAGAAGGGAATATAAGATGGTGGGAGATCAGTTTCTAGCATGTTTTCAACAAACTTGTTTTGTGTGTTTTTTCACGTGCAGATCTCTGGCGATTGCAGTTTCTCCTGCCCTTTGTCAGCCTTGGCCTCATGTGCTTTGGGGCTCTGATTGGGCTGTGTGCTTGTGCTTGTCGCAGCCTTTACCCTGCCATTGCTACCGGAGTCCTCCATTTCCTAGCAGGTAGGTCTCCTGCCATCCATCACTTACCCTCCCTCCTCCAGAAGCTCATAGTGACAGCCAGAGCACTTCAACGGAGAGCTCATTGCGCTTTACTGCTTCCTTCCCCAGGGCTTTGTACGCTGGGCCTGGTTGGCTGCTATGTAGCTGGGATTGAGCTGCTCCATAAGAAGCTGCCCCTGCCTGATGATGTGAGGGGTGAATTTGGCTGGTCCTTCTGCCTAGCCTGTGTCTCGGCACCTTTGCAGTTTATGGCAGCTGCTCTTTTCATCTGGGCGGCTCGCACCAACAGAAAGGAATTCACTCTCTTGAAAGCGTACCGTGTAGCATAAGTGCTGCTACCAAAGTATTGGGTTTCCATGTCATAACCTCTTCTCCCCCCAACCCCTACTACTTTTTTCTTTTAGTCAGAATTTTACCTTGTACTGCAAGCTTCTTGCCAGTTGAGACAATTTAGCCTGCAGGCCCTGAAGACAAAGACCTCTGGGCTAAATGACGAAACTCTGCCAGAAGTCTGCAGAACTTGAACAAGTTTTTAAATTGGTTTTTTTAAGAATTATTATTTTTTAAGCTTCATTTGGTTGTTGAATATCCCCTTAGTTAGGTGTACATCCTCCTTCCTAATTTTATTACCCTGTCAGCCTGGAGGAAATAGAACTGGTGTTGTCGGGTGGAAGAGAGATAGGAAAAGAAAAGATGCAGGTAGGCAAGAATGGGAACCTCAGTGCACAAATAATAAATAAATAATCAGGAGCTGCCTGCTGTGTGACCCAAGCAGGCAGTACCTACAGAAAGCACCCAAGAGACATGGGGGAACTCAGAAACCTCTGTTATGGAAATACTGTAGCTAAATCAGTCCTGTAGCTTTGCTTTGGGTCTCTTATTCTCACTAGTTTTCTACTTTTTGTGGCTTCTGCCAAAACTGATGCAGGCAGAGCAGCCGGCTGTGAGAGTGCCTGCACAGCACACCATCCCGAAGTAATGAGTTGGCCCACATGGAGCTTTGCTGCTCTAGCTACGCTGGTTCCAGGACCCAGGCTAGTTTGGTATCTGCACTACATGTGATTGTGCACTCTAATCTTAACTTGCGGTGCTTTTGCTTGCTGTGAAATAAGGCTTTCCTCTCTCTTGTGTTGAAAACGACCCTTCACAAGTTTTTTGTTTTTAATTTGGTTTAGTGTATGTGTGTATATGTACATATATAAATTTAACTTTTTTTAAAGCTCACCTATTTATCCTATATAGCACACAACAGGGTTTTTTTTAAAAGGTGCTGCTCTTTTCCCATCTTGCCCCAAACCTATTGTTTAAATGAAATAATAATTAAAAAAAATAAGCTCAGAAATTTTCAGCGTTGCATGAATCTGATGGGAAGGTGAGAGAATGGTCTGAAGTGAATTTTACTTGGGGAACGAAAAGCCAATGTCTAGATAATTCTCTGTTTTCAGGGAAATGTCACCAGAAACAAAGATGTTTGGTTAGATTTTTTTTAATTAAATTCTTGGGCTCCTGCTAACTTTAAATTTTCTCCTGTTCATCGTTGGGGGGCGCAACACGCCATAATTTCTAACTAGTTCACAGCTTCTGCACATATTTCTTCTAAATCACTGCAACTCTAGCCAGACTGGGCGGCATGTCTTATCTAGAAAACAAAGTTCCAAGTCTAAATTGTTTAATTCTGAGGCGTTAACTCCCCTTGTTTCCTTACTGCATGCTTAATAGAAGAAATAGGTCTTAGAAGAAATAAACGCTGACAAAATTACTAAGTCTGTGATGGCAAGGATTCTGTGAGATACTATTGATGAGAATGACACAGAAATAGGCATTTTTATCTCATGGCTGTTTTTTTTATTTTGTTTTGTGCTTTTTTTTTTCAGTAGGTCCTTCTACCCAGGCTGTCTTTGCTGGGTCAGCAAACAGCCTTAGTCACTAGTTCCCTGAAGATCAGGGATATCTGCTAGTATTGTTTCTTTTTTTTATCATGTGTGTGATAGGGATCTACCTACTTCTCCTTTTATTATCATCATTGGAGTCTTTGCAAAGTGAAACAAGGATCATGATGAAAACCAGGATCATGGAAAAAGCAGCAGTAGACTGTTCAAGATAATCCTCTTTCTTTTGCTGTTGAGTGATTTTTCACCTTCCCTCCTAAAACAGCTTCTTTCCCGCTCTACAATGTCTGGGCCAATTCTAACCCAGTGAGAGGGGATGTGGTACTTTTGTACAGTATCTGAGAGTAAATGAAAATCCATGCTGCTGATGTGTACTGATATGGTGCTTTTTCAGTCATTAGTTATCTCTGACTTAGGTAAATAAGGCCTAACTGCTCAGCTTGTCTCGTTCCTCATTTGTCAGAAATACTAGGGCATGCAAGCCTCAGCTCAGGTCAAAAGGGCTGGAAGGTGCTATTCTGCACTTTGAGAGGAAACACTGCTCGTTATTTTATCTAGTACAGTTTGGGTTCTTTTTTCTTTTTTCAGGAGCTGGCAGAATAATCATATCTTGTGTTTTTAATCTGAGCAATAGGAATCCTGTGCGCTTGCTCTCTCCTCTTGTATCAGACACCTATTTTTCTGAAGTGTAAATCTCACTTTTCAGACATTAACATTCTTGCTTCCAAAAGAAGGATTGTTATGGAGAGAAAAGGGAATGTTGGAAGTGCTGTCAGTCCTTTCTTGATCATTTCAAGTATCAGCAAAACCAAGATTGCCTGCTTTTGTCTGTGTCTTAGATAAAGGCTGCTGGTTTTCTCTGCCCTAAAATGAAGAAAACAGGCTTTAATTGATCCTTGATTTGGACCATTTATCTAAAATGAAGATCACCTTTCAGGGTTTTTTGGGTTTTTTTTCTCTTCACTCTCGTGTAAAGATTTCTTCATCGGAATGGATTTCAGTGAGAAGCAGATTTCATACAGAAAGAGGACTATCCCTCTCCATTGCCTGGGGTGATGGATCTGCGTGTAGCTGTCTTGTTTTGTAAGTATGTGCTTTGCTCAAGGTGTAAAGGGAGCAAGAAGAGTTTTTGGACTGCTGGCTTGGGTCCACTAAATGGTGTTGGAGGAGGACAGAAAAACAGAGTAGACACTGAGGATGGAGTAATTCTATAAAAGAGAGATGATTAAGTGTGCTAACAGATACTGGGACAGATCTTGACCCCGTGTGTGGTACAGGCCCTTCACGCCAGCCTCCTCAGGCCTCCTCATGCCACTTTCAGAGGTTGGCTGCATTCAAGAGAAGCTTGAGGCCTGTGTGTATGTTTGTGGTCACATAAGTATATGCAAATACAGACATCCTTGCTCAAAAAAGTGAAGTCTTCCAACTCTGGAAGAAAGTGGTGAGATCAAAGGCTGATTTGTGTTCCTCAGTATTTTGTGGTCTGACCATGGGAGATGGTTACTGATACTGGTTCAGTGTTGGAGATAGGGATGAGGCAGATACACACAGTAAGATCAAAAGAGATTAAAAAAGGGGTGTCCTTGTGTGTCTGTGTGCACAGGGGAGATGGCACACATCTCTAACACTGTTGTATGGGCTGGTGAAAGTGAAGAGAAGGCATATCAAAGGAAAAGGAGAAACAAAAGAGGAGGGGGAGGAATCCTGTCAGACTGAGCGTGAGAACCGAGGACGCTTGACACTGCATGGGAGCAAGCTCCCAGGACTCCACGTGAACTCCCCGTGTGGTGCTGTGTAGCCAGCATAGCAGAGGCCAGCCGCTGCTCTTCCACCACCACTGCCTTCCTGCCCACCCACAGCGCCATCACAGTGGCAGCATGAGCGAGTGGGTGAACTCTTCTCTTGTGCTTATGAGAAGCCCATAAAGGCTCTGTCCCCCAAATCCGAGATGGGCAAGCTGCATTTGTCCTTCAATCACGCCCCTGTGACAACGTTTCTTCTTTACAGGCTTGGGCTTGTTTTCCTGCCAACACTGTGAAACCACTAGAAAAGCAGGACTAGCGGAAAGCTGCACAGAGCAATAAAGTGTTTAGTCTAGGCAGCAGCAGCTTCTTATTTTTTCCTCAAAGTGACATTTTCCCTGTCCTCTCCCCCCGCTCCAAACAACTCTGAGAAGGGGCTGGTCAATGAAGCTGCGAAGAGGGGTTTTTGTTATTGTGGCTGTAAAGACAGCTCCCACTGTGTTAGAGGAGAGATTGCTGAAAACAGGAGAATGGTCAATCCCATTTCCTTTCTTTAATAAAAAAGCAGTATAGAGCAGACACAAAAAATTGCTTTGTTGTGTAAAGGGGACAGTTCGCCACTTACAAAAGGAATAATATGTTGTGGGTGCAAGTGATAGCATAGTCTTGGATGACCCGGGAGGCCCTTCTAATCTGTTGTCGTGCCAGAAACTCTGTGTGGTGATCTAGTTTTCCTTCTGGATTGTGTGCTGGCCAGGTGGTCCTTTCCTCATGGAAGGTCTGTTGCAGTCTTTTTGCTACGCTGATAATGAACGCCTCCTCTCCCCTCATCTAAAATGCTCTGAAGTGTGTTTTGAGAAAGGTGTTTGGGTGGGTTTTTTTTATTTTTTGTGTTCTTTGTCACTTATGGTTGGCACCAAGTTATGTACCAGCTCGCAGTCTCTCTTGCAGTGCTGTCTTAGTTTTGTGATTCAAGGCAATGACTTCTGAAAAGCTCTTTGCTGCTCACTAGCATTGTGTGTACTCAGCCAGCACCTGCTAGTCAAAGAGAAATTCTGAAATGTCAGCAGCTTGTCATCGTTATATCTGGGGCTGATTGTCCACCTCTATATGTGTGTATTTCCTGCTTGAGTAGATTGTGTATCTCAATATCTTGAAGCTGTTTGTTGGGGTTTTTTTTCCCGTTTCCTCAGGAATAGCTAGAGTTTTGTGCTATAGAACTTCTTTATAACCTGGTTTCTAATAGGAAGGGATCAAAAGTTTGTGTGTTTACTACTAGCTCTTCTATTGCTGTAGAATATTATTCTTGCCCTATATTTTTAAACTACAACTTTCAAAACTATGGAGTGCAAATTGAAGCCTTTGTTCAAGTTACGGTTCAGATATATGACAGTGGAAGAATGGATACTCTGTAACTGGAAGACTGTATAGGTATTCTGGATATGGCAATAACAGCCATATGCAAAATTACACTTAACGAGCACCTCTCTGCCGACCGATACATGCCAAACCTTTATACAAACTGATGACCACTGAAAAAAAATCTGACAGCAATAATGTATTCCACTCCTCTCTCTCCTCTTCCCTTCAAAATTACTCTTTTTAAAAATAACCATAGGGACAGTGTTTTATTTATTGATCAGGTTAGAGCAATGAGTGTCAGATGTCTCTGTACTCCATGCTTTCTGTGTACAGACAAGGGTGAAGATAATTGATTTTTGCAGAGAATCCAAGCATCTCTCTACCCTTGGGTTTTGCAAGGTGAAGATTGAAAAATTTCAAGAAAACTAGAACCTTTTGTTTAATGAAAATTAATTATTACTTAATCAGAACCCTCCAAAAAAAAAAACCTAACCTTTTGTTTAATGAAAATTAATTATTACTTAATCAGACCAAAAAAAATTTCAAGAAAACTAGAACCTTTTGTTTAATGAAAATTAATTATTACTTAATCAGACCTCCAAAAAAAAAAGTTAGTGATTTTTTGAATAGCTTGCTTTCTTTCTCCAGCTTTCTCAAGTCTTTCGTCTGCCTCTTTTACAGTGTCTCTCACATTAAATGGTTTTAGAATATTATCCTTTTTAGATTGATGTTTGCAAAGATAATCTGCTGTTGTATTTTGTATCACTATCTTGGAAGAGGAAATCCTTACATGTGTAACTTTTTAATGGACCTACCCATTACATCTGTAATTTGGGCTAGTTCTCAATATCAGACATGCATTTTTTAAAAAAAAATTGGAGTACCTATTAAAAATAGGTCAATCCAAACATCCTTAAATAGCCTTTCAAAAAAGTAAACGAGGAAGTGTTTCCAGAGCACTTCGTTAGCAAGGATTCCCTCTAACCCATGTTATGACCTACCATGTGTCCGGACCTTTACTATCAGTCCTTTTTCCATTCAGCTTCCACAGCTGAATGCACGTGAGTATATTTTGCTGCACATTAACTTGATTGAGCCATGGTTGAGGACCATTCTCCGTTGTAACTTCACCTTTTATCATCCTCATGATAAAAGGGTTACACTACAATGCCTCTGTTGTTGGAAAAGCCCTGTGAAGCACCACCACGTGGTCTCTTTGTGGAAGAACCATCCTCTGTTAGCTGTCTGCCTGGAAGAACCAAGGCAGACCCCGGTGGAGGGAGTGCAGCTCTCTGCCAGTGCCCCATCATGTTTCCATACCCGTAAGCTCAGCGGTGGAGACTTGCGTTAGCTGTAAGTGTTAGTATCGGGTGTCCTTCACACTGTGTCAGGTGAGTGTGATTAGAGCCTTTCCCAGCAGTGTCCAGCCATGGTGTGCTGTGAGTATATTCTTGGGCTAAGCTACCAAATCAGTACTGCACTGAATGTTGGGGTTTTTCCTTCCTCTGAAGCCAAGTACAGCTTGTACCTTTAGCTGATTTGATTCTTTGGGAGATTTCTCTGCAGTCTGATAGCTGACACTGTTGGCTAAGTGACCATGGCAGTACCTTTTTACATTGAATACATTGAATGGTTTTTATGTAAATTCAGAGAGGGGGGTTGATTTAGACTAGATATAAGTAATACATTTTTTACACTGAAGGTGGTGAAACACTGGCCCAGGTTGCCCAGAGAGGTGGTGGATGCCCCATCCCTGGAAACATTCCAGGTCAGGTTGGACGGGGCTCTGAGCAAGCTGATCTAGTTGAAGATGTCCCTGCCCGCGGCAGGGGGTTTTGACTAGATGACCTTTAGAGGTCCCTTCCAACCCAAACTATTCTATGATTCTATTATCAGAGGACTTGTCTGTGACAAACACGTGTAAAAAGTGTCAAAGCTGACTATCCGATATGTTTACACTGATGATGATTTAATCGTTGATTGAATCCACCAGTTAATCACCAAAGTGATGTGTGTTTTGGAGCACTGGCTGGATGAGACCGGGAGTGAGCTGGAGTGGCAGTGCAGAGCAGGTGCTAATTTTCTGTGATGCCTCAGCTCTACCAGAGCCTTCCTGCCTAAAGGTGATATTGATAGCAGACGCTGGAGAACTGGTTCCACAGCCTCTCCAAATCCTTCCTGGGTCTCAGCCCTGCGCTGTACCATGCTCCCTTACCATTGCTCATTCCCTAATTTGAACAAATTACTTGTGTGGGTGATTTTGCGATCGTTGTGCCTTTACTTAAGTAACTTTTCCAACCCTCATTAAATTGCTTTGGTTGAGAAAGGGGTGGGGTTCATCTTCACCAGAAATAAGCTCTGCTTTCTGAGTGCTTTCTGGGGCTGTTGCAGTAGTTTTTTGCAAACAAATCCCTTTTGTCTTGCTCTCAAGTGACCCATTTAACTAGCTAGGTTTGATTTGCATTTTGATGTTTACTTCCACTGCCCAGTGCTAGACCTGCTTGGGTTCTCTAAAGGTCTTCGAGTTCTGGAAAGTGATTAACCATCCACAAATGATGAGGACATCCCGAATGGTGTCAGTAGTGGGATGCTGCTGGAGGAGTTGCCCCTGCCTACAGAATGCTGAACTGGGAGGTGAGGCAGGAGGAGCTGGTGAGTGGGGCACGGGCTGCAGCGGGAAACGAGCGGTCCCTGACAGCGGGTCGCAGGTTCTGGAGCAGCTTCACTTTTCTGCTTGAGCCACTGCAGACCTGCCCAGGAACAGCACTTGGACAACTGTATCAACAGTCTGAGGGGCAGCATGGACAACACGTAGTGATTTCCCCTGCGGGCCTGGGCTTGAAGAGGCTGTAGCAGCCAGGGCTGTCCTCTACAGGGAGCACAAGGAAGCATGTAGCGTTATGGGGAGAGGAAGCCAAACCTGTTCTGGAGCAGACGGTTGTGTTTTACTTCCAGCCACCTTTGTGAGCTGACAGGAGTGTCATCATCCAGGCGATAGACTTGTTATTCCCCTTCTGTGTCTTCTTGCTTCCTTCTCCCAGCTCCTGCCACTGATTCTTCCCTTTCCATTCTCTCTCTTTCATAACCTCTTTTACCACAAGAAATAAACTAGCTATACACTTCAGGGGCATGTTGGGCCATACTCAGAGGACCTTAAGTCTGTCCACATCCCTGTTACGCACCCAGTTGGGTGCATGTGGAAGCCTAAAGCCAGCTAATTGGAAATGCTAGGCACAGGAACATTTGTTAGGGCATGTAGCTATGGCCCTGAATGCTTTTAAAGCACTGGCACCCTTTTTAATGTGGCCTGGATGCTGATGGCTCTGCTCTGCCAGGTGCTCAGCTTATGGTTTTGTGGGGGGTTGACCCTGGCTGGATGCCAGGTACCCATCAAAGCTGCTCTATCACTCCCCTTCCTCAGCTGGACAGGGGAGAGAAAAATATAACAAAAAGCTCGTGGGTTGAGATAAGGGCAGGGAGAGATCATTCACCAATTACCGTCACGGGCAACACAGACTCAACTTGGGGAAAAAATTTAAATTAATTTATTACCAGTCAAATCAGAGTAGGATAATGAGAAATAAAACCAAATCTTAAAAAACACCTTCCCCCCACCCCTCCCTTCTTCTTGGACTGAATTTTACGTCCAATTTTCTCTACCTTCTCCCCCCACAGTGGCACAGGGGAATGGGGGTTGCAGTCAGTTCATCACACGTTGTCTCTGCCGCTCCTTCCTCCTCAGGGGGAGGACTCCTCACACTCCCTGCTCCAGCCAGCATGGGGTCCCTTCCACATGAACTTCTCCAATGTGAGTCCTTCCCACAGGCTGCAGTTCTTCACAAACTGCTCCAACGTGGGTCCTTTCCACTGGGTGCAGTCCTTCAGGAACAGACTGTTCCAGAGTGGGTCCCCCATGGGGTCCAAGTCCTGCCAGCAAACCTGCTCCAGTGTGGGCTCCTCTCACCACGGGTCCAACAGGTCCTGCCTGCCAGGAGCCTGCTCCAGTGCGGGCTTCCCACGGGGCCACAGGCTCCTTCAAGCATCCACCTGCTCCAGCGTGGGGTCCTCCGCAGGCTGCAGGTGGATATCTGCTCCACCGTGGACCTCCATGGGCTGCAGGGGGACAGCCTGCCTCACCATGGTCTTCATCACAGGCTGCAGGGGAATCTCTGCTCCAGTGCCTGGAGCACCTCCTCCCCCTCCTTCTTCACTGACCTTGGTGTCTGCAGAGTTGTTTCTCTCACACATTCTCACTCCTCTCTCTGGCTGCAATTGCTGTGTGCGCAGCAACTTTTTCCCCTTCTTAAATATGTTACCATGGAGGCGCTGCCATCGTCGCTGATTGTCTCAGCCTTGGCCAGCGGCAGGTCTGTCTTGGAGCTGGCTGGCATTGGCTCTATGGGACATAGGGGAAGCTTTTAGCAGCTTCTCACAGAAGGCACCCCTGTAGCCCCCCCGCTACCAAAACCTTGCCACGCAAACCCAATACAGGTTTAAATTCTCTGCATCCAGTGTTTACAGAATGAGAAATAAGACCCTAATTTGCAGTAAAAGATTTATGTAGTACAGTCTGGGCTAAAGGAGCTCTTGTTCCTGCCAGCTGTCTGCTTCTGTTATGCTCCCTACCTTGGGTCGTCTTCACCCCAGGAGACGCCAGCAAGGCGACAGCTTCTTGATATTTGGGTATTGTTTGTGTTTAACAAGCTGGCAAGGAAACAGGGATCAACTGATTGAGCAGTAAAGAAAACCCCTGTGGTGCCATCATGCACAATGCAAAGATTCTGGTCTATAGGTAAAGACAGTTTGTGGGGAATTTTTTTCCCCATTTTTCAGAGTCTGTATCATATACTCAGCTCAGGTTTTTCCTTTATTGCCAGTAATTTTTAGATTAACTGCTAGAGTTTCTAGAAATTATGGACGTCACCTTTGTCTCCTCACTGAAAAGGAAGATTTTCAACAAAGATGTCACTGACTTCACATTCCCAGACCCAAGGGAAAATCCTGAGGGTTATTCGAAGCACTGAGAAATAAGTGGAACAAAGTCAGTCACCGATAATGAAGATTAAAGAAGATGAATTTCAGGCAAAGGTAATGTTTTCTGTTGGTTTCCTATTCTGGGATGTAGCAACTTGTGAGATGCATAAAAGATGCAGGAAATAATTTTTGTTCTTCACTTGACCATGTTCAGCCTCAGCTGATTTAGGTTTAAAAACCATAACCTACAAGATAAGGAGCA